TCTCTCTCTCTCTCTCTCTCTCTCTCTCTCTCTCTCTCTCTCTCTCTCTCTCTCTCTCTCTCTCTCTCTCTCTCTCTGTATATTTTCGAAGGCCCGACAAACACACGAGCAGTATGCATACAAAGGTAAATGAATTTCCATTCCCTTCTCCCCTATCGTGTCTTTGTTTATCTGACTGCACTTTCCCTGTCTGGCCATTCATCACTTTTTTTGGCCGCCTGTTTGGTGCGTGTGCGCAAATGCGCATGCCTTTGTGTGCGCATGTGCTCAAGTATGTGCATGCGTGTTGTGTTCGTGCATGCATGCATATGTTTGTGCTTGTGTGTGCTTGTGTGTGTGTGTGTGTGTGTGTGTGTGTGTGTGTGTGTGTGTGTGTGTGTGTGTGTGTGTTCAACTGCGACTTTGAGGTAAGCGTACCAGATCTCTTTGCCTTGTGCTTCCGGCCCAAGAAGAAAAAAAATATTGCCACGCCGCTTTGTTTTTTAATGGGGGGTTCAGGAAAAAGAGGCCTGGAGGTACTGTTCATTTAGGGAATGGAAGTTGTAAGAGTAGTCGATCCTGTTCATTTTTGGAGGCTGTAGATGGAAGGTCGCCGCCGGCATGCTTTAGATGGATGGTTGCTGCCGGCGTGCTTTCGATGGAAGTCCTGGAGGTAGTGTTGTTGATGACTTTACCGTGGCAATGCAATGCAGGTACGGGCATTCCCCCCAATGTGTAGGAGCTGGCATGCTTTAGCTCAACATGCGCAAACGTTCGCAGGCTCTTTCGGTGTTGATTGGATGGCATGGACGTTTGAGTCCCGCTTGGCTCTCTTGCTCTGTGGCAAGTAGGATGATGGACCGGCACTGTCAAATTCTGTCATCTCTTTTTGTATGGTGTTTATGTATTTATGTTTTTTTGGAAATTTGGATGATTTCTCAAGAGGGCCGAACCGTTTTGGAAAAAGAAAAAGGAGACTGTCCTTTTCTGTGGAGCAGCACTGTAGCTCCTCAATGTCTGCCAAAGAGTCTTTGCAGTGTTGTGCTTTTTTTTTTTTGGTTGGTAATCATGCGATTGCGGTCAGATTCATCTGCTCTCTGGCTGTGATTGCAGTATGATACATTCGGGAAATTCCTACTGTGAGTACGCCTTCGGGGTCTTCCTCCCCCGAACACATCGCATCCTCATTATGCCTTCATCCGACCGGAATCATGGCCTTGTATACATTCAGAATCAGGGAGTGTTATGTTCGGGGGAGGAAGACGGTAGTGTTCACGTCCAAACTAGGAAGGCCGTGAACTGCTACTCTACCTTTCATAGGCAGCCCCGAGCTAAGACGGTAGTGTCCAATTTAAAAATGCGACATTCGGGGTTCGTTCGTAGGCAAATGTCAAGATTTGTATAAGCGACCTTGTGGGTTCTTTGGATGAACAGAGCTACTGGACCAGAATGGCCGGCGGCCGCAGGAAAAGGGGAGGGGGAGGGGGCAACCACGCCATGTTTGCGCTTTGGCGAAGCTCTTTTCCGAGTGACAAAAAGAGGCTCAGATATAGTGGTGGCTTAGAGCAGCAGTTGGTAAGAAAAGTGCACCTGGCTTTCGTGGATGAAATTCGTTCATCATGAAATGTCCGGGCTGCCTGCGGCCAGTTAAATGCATTCACGATAAAATGTGTTCACAGGTCTTCAATAGAGTATCACAGTTCTATTTTTCACCCAACTTTCAGTCCAGATGTGATGAGAATAACATTATTTTTTTGTCGTATTCGGGTGACGTTGGGGTTAGTTTAATGGGTGACATTGTTTTTAGTACTTTTCACCAGATTCATTCTCGAAAAGTGATTATCGGGTGTATGACCTCCGGGCGGCGGATTTAATGGGTGACATTTTTACCAGATTCATTCTCGCCCATGTGGATCTGCAACTTTTTTTTTTTTTTTGTATCTGCGACTTCCTTTTTTTTTTGGATCTGCCTTTCCTTTTTTTTTTTTTGGATCTGTTTTTTTTTTTTTTTTTTTTTTTTGGATCTGCAACTTCGTTTTTTTTTTTTTTGGATCTGCAACTTCCTTTTTTGGGGTGGGGATCTGCCTTTACGTTCCACCTAACTCGGGGTTTGTATGTATAAGGGGAAGAAAGAAAGGACGGGTGTGGGGTGATGCATTTTAACAAGCCGGGGGGCATGGTCTAATCGGGCTGACTTGTCACGAGCGAACTAGCGTCTTCATCTGAATAGAATGCCCGGTAATTATGACCGAATCTGGACTGGAAGTTGCACTGAGTATAGCTATAATGAACGGGTGTTCTATTCGGGTGAAAACAGTAGTATGACAAAATGACAATGAGGCCTGCTATTTTCCGAAACGACAAAGGTACTAGTGGTTTGACACTGCAGCTGACGTCAGGTTTAGCTACATGAAGAAACTGAAGGGAACACCAAGGAGCCTAGCTCAGTTGGTAAAGTTGGTATAGTTTGGTAAAAGTTCCGTAAAACCAATAACTGTTGAAATACAGACCCCAGTTTGAATCCTCATGATAGGCTAAGATGAAAGAGGAAAACAATGTTTCTGGAAAAAGAAAAAAACTGAACAGAGCGATTGCTCTGACGTTTCCATGTTTTGAGAGAGTGCTGGGCCTTATACTTGAACATATCCAGGTCCCTTACTTGTCCCATCCTGCCCTCATCCATACCCTTCAATTCCTGCGGGCTCCCCTTGTTTTCATTTATATCTTATTAGAAGCAAACCGGGGCGCCGCGTGATGCTTCATGCGGGCCTGGGAAATACTTAAAAGGAGGCGGTACTGTAGGAGTGGCCTTGTTGTGTCCACGAAGTTTCACATGTTTTTTATGTTTTTCATTCGTTCGGGAAAGTTCAAAGTGTCTTTTACTTGTTATTTTGGGGCGGCATGCACATTTTGGTGGGCGGGGGGTGTGCGTTGCTAAATGTTTTTCTTTGCCGTGGCACGTCTTTACTGCGAGGGCCTGATTTTCATCTCTGCCGTGGACTGGATGGCCGAGCACGTTGGCTTGGCGCTTTGGCTTGGGCGCGTTGGATTGGGTGTGTTCGCTTGGGTGCATCATGTTCCGATATGGTTGCGTATCTTCCAATTGTTCTAGCGGAAAACTTATTCGTGTTTCACATTTGGTGTTGGCTGGGGCCAGCGTCATGTTTGGATGAACCGAGAAGGACGAACAAGGGAGAACAACGGGGGAGAACAATGATGAGAGGGAAGGGGGACGAGGGGAGATTGGGATGCTGGAAGGAGGTTGATGAGGGCAAACAATGGCGTTCGATGGAGGATCGAGAGGAGGAGAGTGATGATGGTAGGAGGGTGGTTTTTCTTTTTTTTTAGGCGAGGTTGATGAAGAGGAAGGATGAAGGAAAAGGGAGGACGATGAGGGTGGAGGAAGGATTGACAGAGAAGAATGGCCGCTGTCGAGCGCGTCCGCCCCCGTGCGAGGGAGGGCCCTCCCGGTCGCGTCACGCAGGAGAAACTTAACTTTCAACTTTTTAGAGACAACTCGGGGACGAGATGGTAACCCGCGCCGACCTTTTGCCGTTCCGGCCGAGTGCCCCAGCTGTACATCTCGCGGTACCCTATGACATGATAGGTTTCCGCGGGGTACAACTTACCTTCCCTTAGGGGCCGTTAACAACCTTAGGGGCGTATCCCCACCGAGCTACAGGCGCACGTGCGAAGGCTTGTATAATGCAAGTGCAGAGGTAGGCTGACCGAGGGCGTTTGCTCGCTCCCTGTATCATAGGTACGCATGGTTGAACGCCAAATTGGACCCGAACGTCGTCTGTCCCTTGGGCGCTGATCTCCCAGGAAATTGAAACATACGCCGGTCGACTAAGACGTGATATTCCAAGCGTAGGGAAAACTTCGAGCGATCTTAGTCCCTTTGTTCAAAGACAATCAAGAGTTACTCAGAAAGGACACTTTCAAATGAAGAAGATTCAGGTCAACATAAGTTGACTTATCTTCTGAAATCAATTCATACATGTTCAATCATGCATATCACTCGGTCAGATTAAACCGACAACATGACTTGTCATCCAACGAGGAGTCAACACGAGTTGACTTGACTTCAAATAACAGTTAGCAACAAAAGGATCAAAGCATGACTAACATGCAAAGCTACGCTAAAATGGCGTGCGACCAAAACACCTCCACTCTGCCTGCCAAATGGGTGGGCGGACACAGCGTTTCGACTTGATGAGGTGCGTTGTCGAATTTTTTCGTTCCGCCCCATATTGACTGCTAGAAAGGAAACGCAGACATCTTCTAATTTTAAAGTAGAGTTGGGATACCGTTGCCTTAATGGTGATTTCACTATTCTCCTAACTTTTGTGTGAATGGCATCTCCAAGTAATCCGGCAACCACTATTCATATTAGCGGCCGACTTAAACAACCGAAATACTGGATACCCCATCAAGGATGAGGATCCACTTTCAAATTTTGTTGGTTGCTTTGTCCTTGC